ATACATGAAATTAAAATCACTGATATCTGATATAGCAAATGCTGCACTTACACATGCCTCAAAAGTATGCATCAAAGAAAACCTACGTGAAATTATACGAAAGCTATTCACAATAAGAAAAGATATTAATGAGGCAGAAGAAAAACTGAAAGGAGCAATTGAAAAGGAAAAATATGAAAGCGTACTAGAAGTTGCACAAAAACGAAAAGAAACTACCTATGAAGAAACAAAGAAGAAACAAATAAAAAAATTTAATAAACTCATGATGGTGAAAACCCCGAGTGACAGACAAGTAACTAAAGCCAATTGGATTGTAAACTTGTCAGACAGAAAGCTAAGAGAAGCACCAGAGGAAAGCGTACTGATGAAAGGGTTGAACTTCAATATTAGCAACAAAAGATTATAACTTGTACCTGTATTATACCTGTAACTGAAACAGCACTCAAAGGACATGACAAGCAAAAAGCAGAAATAGTACAAGCACAGTGTGCATTAACCTTAAAAAAGCAAAAAGCATAAAAACTAAATGTAACGAAGGAGGAACTAAAAGCACTTCAAGACATATCCATTGTCATTACCCAAGCAGATAAAGCAAACACAACAGTACTACTTAACGAAACAACATATAGTGAAAAGATGAATGAACATTTACAATCTGGACCATATACCCTAATGATGAAATCAGCTGAAACAATCACAAACAAAGCAATGAAAGAAACAGCAAAGGTAGTTAGACAACTGAAAGTAAAGTAATTGGTAAGTCAAAATGGTTTGAAATTATGCCAAAATCATATAATATACCTAGGATATATGGCTAGACAAAATTGCATAAAGAGGGATATTCAATGAGACCGATTGTAGACTTTAGAAACATACCAACGTATATGCTATCCAGATTTCTCTCGACAATACTAAGACCGACAAGAGACAACTCAAAAGCTAGAATAGTAGATTCATTTGAATTAGTGAGGCGATTAAAAACCACTAAAATAGAGGAAGAGGAACTACTAGTCAGCTTTGATGTAAACAGTCTCTATACGAAAATACCCATTCAAATAGCCATGACTGCACTGAAAGAGAAACAAAAGGAAGATAATGGCATAAAAGACAGAACACAGTTATCCGTAGAAGAGATAATATAAGAGGGGTGGAATTCTGTCTGACAACAACATACACCTACAAATGAAAGAGTAGCCATGGGATCGTGTATCTCATCAATAATAGCTGACATATTCATGGATTATTGGGAAGAGAATGCCCTTGAACCATTCAGACCATCACTAAAATGTTGGTGGAGATATGTAGACGACACACTAGTAATAGAGTAGAAAAAACGATATCGAGAAACTCTTCTCACGCGTAAACAGCCATATCGACTCAATAAAATTTTCTATGGAAATACAGAATGAAATTGGGGAACTACTTATGTTAGACTGCAAAATACAAAGAATAACAGGTGGTAGCATAAAAACGACGTTATATAGAAAAACCACACACCCTGGAGGATTCTTTGGTTATCACTCAGCTCATCCACTCACGGTGAAACGAGGATTAATTCAAGGTCTTGCAGTTAGAATACGTAGACTTACAACAACACCAGAGGACCAGTGTAAAGAAATAAACGTCATATTCAAAATGCTACTCGAAAACAACTACCCTAAAGAATTTATAAAAGATAATATAAAAAAGAGCAAAAAGAGGATAAAACCGGAGAATAATAAGATGGAAGAATACCAAAAAGAAACAGTCACAATTCCATATAAAAATGGTACATCAGAGGCAATACAAAGAAACCTCAAAAATATCGGCATTCGAACAACCTTTAAACCGACGAATCTAATCAAAAATAAAAGTCAAAAGTCAACTGAAAGATCCCATAAAAATGATGGATAAAAACAATTTGATTTACAAAATATCTTGTGCTGACTGTCCGACTAAATATGTGGGGCAAACGTCCAGATCACTCAAAATAAGAGTGAATGAACATAAACATCTGCCTAACCAAAGGTCAACCAACAGGAACACAAGCCTACAAGAATCTTGAAAAAAATTCATCGATAGATGCACATGCATAGGACAAAGACCACAATATCGATTGGAACAATGTGTGTATTCTAAAAACTAAAACATGAACAAATGGAAAGAAAGACTTATAACAGAATCGATATTCGCTAAAGTCATACCGGATACATGTAACAAGGTTGACTCTCAGTACAACTATCAACAACTTGGAATATAATTCTGAATACAAAAGACATGAATGAGCGAAAAAGTAATGAACTATATATGAGTACAAATCATAAATGTGTGAACAAAACAATTCCAACAGTGGTGTGAACACGGGCAGTAATTTTGCTCGAAATATTACCAATAACAAAACTTATCATTGCGTGTAAACTACTGAAATATAATTATACTTTATTTTTACCTCCGAGGGTATTGAACTACTTTGCGTATCCATAGCTGAAGTGAAAGGCGTCCCTTAAATGTTAACTCTAACTGCTGAACACGAAAAAGTCCATCCAGCTTATACATGTGTCATGAACTACCGTAAGGTCATTATAGATGTAATCACTTTATATCTTAATGTCTAATCATGTCCCTCTTCACTTTTGCCATTTTTTTATTAATCTTTCTTACTCATTTCCACCTAGTTTACATCATAGCACTATTATTTAACGATTATTATTTTTATTATTATATTTATCATCCCTTGGAATTACATCCAATGTAAACTACTTCTTTTCTTTTGTAGTATTCATATTTCCCCTAAAACTACTGACTAATCCCTTGAGAGCTATACTTTTGTTGATAATGAATTCACGAACGCATCATTCGATTATTTTACCTTTTCTTCTTATTCGCAGTACTCTGTCTGTCTGTTTCCGACATAGAACTTTCCACCGATTTGCGGCAGTTCAAGTCGCCTCACTCCTTCCTTGTAGCACACAAAGTAAGAGAAGAAAGTAAGAAGGAATGCCAAAACAGAGACAGTAAACAGAGGTGTGAGACAAAGGAATAGTAGTAATGAAGAGCAACATAGTTTCATTGGAAATTATAAGTCACGAGGAGTGGATGCATCTGCGCCAGCCATCACTGAGAACGAGGATTGTGAGCCATGTCACCAATTGTCTCCAGCCATTGGATTTTACCGTCCCGAGGACCTCAACCAGTCAGGAAGTCTACACCTTCCCACGTAGCTTAGGCTAACTGCTGTAGATTTCATTGACTGATGAAGCCATGTTATGGTTTGACCTCCGGTAGCTCTTTTCCAGGCTGACCCTATACCCTATGCCAGCTAACATTGCCCATTGTCGAGGGAGGCGATGACTAGGCATGCATGCGTAACGCATGTCCTAACCATCTCAGTCGATGTAATTTCACAACCTCGTCGATTGATTCCCCCTCCTTACCTAGCACTCGACCGATGCCTAACCTCAATATTGCTCACCCTATTACACATAGTACTTCACACGGGAGATAGAGCGGAGGCACCTATGATCAAAGATAGCTAACCGACCTTTTCATGTCTTCCACTGTCATTGGTCAGGTCTCACAGCCAGCCATAAAGGAGGACGTAGCAGTACACATGCCTTTTAGTCGACAGCCAGTCGGATATCACGTCTACTAAGCCAGAGAGGGCGTAAACTGGCATTTGCGAAACTAACCCTCTGTATCCGTGCTGAGATTTCGTCAGAGATCAACCCGTTGGCGCTGGCTGATGGTACTTCCCAAATAAGTAGAGCGGTCAACGTGCCCTACCACTTCACTCCCTATTTCTAAACTAGGAGTCAGTGTAGTCCAGTCCCGTAACATCATCTTGCATTTGGCGGGAGCGAATCGCATGCCAAACATTCGTGGATTGCAGCCCAAGGTGTTTAGAAGACTCTGCATTTTGTCAGCGTCCTCGCCCAGAAGGACTCTATCGTCTGCATATTCTGGCATATTGGCAGTACAGTTTTGTATGCGTTTAAATAATAAAAATTAACTGAGTACTACTCCATCTTTTACTTGTACCACGACAGATTCTCGATCTTAATTTTAATTTGTCTAGCTATTGTATACTAACATTAATGGGTTCAGAAGTATTGAGAATTTAGAAGAAATTACTGAAGGAAATTGTTCCATCGAATCATCCTTAACCTATTAACGTTGACCAGTTTGTCTTAACCCTAATGGGACAAAAATGTATCTACTCTAGACTTTTAATCTTCAATATTCAACTACACCAACAACGATTAAACCAAAGTCTGAACAGCTTCGATAACTTAATTCACATGCAACTGGCTAACGTCATGAGCTTTTACTCACTAGTACGCATACCCGTCTTCTTTTTTAAAGAACAAATGGTAGTTCTGAAGTTCTTTCGTATGTATTAGGAAAGTGTATTCTATCAGTTGTTAACTGTTAGTTATGCTGAGTAATATAAACACATACAGCGAAAATCACCAACCCACATTAATCTTTTAGTGAATGATATAACCTCATAACAATCTGCACACTATGACGACATATATCCATTTTATGCAGGCTAAAAATACTGGTTACATGGTTTACTAAGTAACATACATTTGAGGACTGACACAGAAATCAAGTACCTAAGTGACGAGGTTACTGAAAAGTGAACTAGAAACGAACCTATGTTAAGTGGATACTCAAATCGAGAATCTTTTGTTGGGAGGTGGGGACGAAAAGCATCTGCTCAAAAAATAAATAAACCACTGACTTATTCCCTACTCTTACATGGATGGTATTCATATATTTGTTTAATTTCACTCAAACAGTTAAGCCGAAGGACTCATGGCTTTTAATCTGGAGACTGAAGGACCAGAGTTATCTATTATCCGGTATGTAGATGAGTTACAGGGACACAATATGTAAATAAAATAATTCGTAAATGAAATAATATTTGATAATGTTAACTCTAATCACTAAGTTGCTCGACAACTGCCTACATATATACGTCAGTACAACTATAAAATCTCACAACGTTAACTTACTTTAGATACATCAGTGAATTTCATTGTATATTAAGTACGACAACATAACTTAGACGACTTTGGATTTCCAAGTGAATCAGTTGATTCAGGAAGGGTTATTTGTGCGGGGCCAATTCCAACTGGATAAGACATCTTGTTAGGATTAGGATCATTTTGAATCTGCTCCAAAACACTTCGAACAGCGGCTGTGAATGCTTCGAGGACATTTACACCGTTCTTCGCCGAAGTTTCTAGGAATGTTTGAGCTCCATTGTCAATAGCACACTGCTTTCCTTCCATTTCAGAAACCTACGTAATGCGAACCGAAACGATAGTCAACTGTACAGAGTAATTTGCATAAACAGTAACTGAAAAGGAAATATGGACAGGTAGCTTTGCCAATGTCCTCATGAAAAATGTAAATAAATGCCAAGGCATAAAATTTACTGGTCTCCGCTTTGAACTGTACTTTTAGCTAGTACGCCAAGAATTTCAGGTCGTAGCTTGATTGTGGTATTTGAAGACGTTTGAAAACACTCTACCGAAGTACATTAGTGACATTACTTTCCCTTTATTAGAGATGGACGTTGGGTTCGACAAACAACGAATAGTATTTCTTGATTTTAAGTTCGGAAAACAACTACACCATGAATGAAAGACAACTGGTTTCATAAAACTGATATTCGGAAAAATATCTCGACTATAATTCTGCATGTTCCTTGAAAACCAAAGTATCGATAGTAGTACTACTGAAGAAACTTTAGTGAGTTTTCCAAAACTCACCGGTGTTAAAGAAATAACAGGTTTTTCAAAATGTTCTAAAAGGCATTGTTGGGTATCGACACGCATTCATTTGTTATTATGTAGGACGTTTGAAGTGTAAAGTGAAGCAGATAAAACTGGAACATTCCTGAGATATTCCTGAAGGGGAAGATTATTTTATTTTTGATTTACAGCTTGATCCCACACTGTATTTTTGGTACAAGCATGGAATTTTCAGCATGGATATCGATAGCCCAAAATTTTGCAGGCCGACCATAGATATCGTGTGTGCGTCAGAAGGGGATCGAACCTTGGACCACGTGCATGGTCGGCGAGAGTCCTAACCAATGTGCCACCGACGCGAAATAAAGGGGAAATCCTTGATATTTCCTCTGAAAAGTTCCTCCTTTTTGGTTGATTAGGATGACCATTATCACAGACCTTAAATAATCAGATCCTAATATAAGATAAATCAGACGACAAGACTATCATTGTCAGTACTCCAATCCTCCGTTGCTATAGTGTCTCAAAAATATGTCTGATGTATCAGTTTCAAGAAAAACTTTGTGGGATCAAATTTACGAAAGGCTACTTACTTCCCTCCCACTGGCCTCCAAATCAACTTTATTGCCGATCAATATAATAGTCAAGTTTGGCAGAGCTAAGTCCCTAACAGACGAAATCCAAGTATTGACAGCATTGAATGATTCCCTATCAGTAATGTCATAAACCACCAGGGCACATGCTGCACCACGGTAGTAAGAACGTGTTATACACTGAAACCGTTCTTGACCTAAGAAATGTTAAACTTATGAATTATTACAAACCAGCTGTATCCCATATCTGCAACTTTACAGACTTTGAATCAACTCTGAGTATTTTTGTCCCAAACTCCACACCTATGGTATGCGGTGGATCTTGTTTGAGCTTTCCGTCTATAAACCATCTCATCAGACACGTTTTACCAGCAGCCGCATTCCCAATTATCAAGAATTTCAGTAAATAGTCATACCTTTCCATAGCCGCCAAGGTCAACCATTTATCAAGGTTTCTCTGGTTCGTCCAACGTCCAATCAGATTCAGATTTATTGGTTGATTATAGAAGGCTTGGAACCTATGTTAATCCTTTTCTAGTAAATTTCTGTGCTTGCCCAAATCCTTCTTGAACGAATCAGTTGAAGTTGCAGACACCACTTCTTTTGGGAATCGGTGCCAAGAGTTAATGACTCGGCGTGAGAACCAGTATTCCACGGCAGAATGATTTCTTCTTGGCTTCTGAACTCTCCTGCTATGTCCTCTAAGTTGTGCCAACCTGATGAGAAAGCAAAGAGAGAATAGGTCAGGTCTAAGTCATTATTTAAAACTGTAAACTTTTAATTAAATCTCCTCTCTGATTACGGTATGATAGCGAGAAGAGATTTAAACTGCCTAGTCTTTCCTCTTATGATAAGTTAGTCATGCCGAGAATCATACGTTTTGCCTGTCTTTGGATCCTTTCTAGGATATGCAAGTCCCCTTTAAGACAAGAACTGGCTGACTGGATACATCCACTGCGCGACAGTGTGCTGTAGTTTTTAAATCGTGACTTACTAAAACACCTAAATCCAAATGAGTCTGAACTGATGAAAGCTAATGCTTGCGTGTTCGTGGCGCATGGTTGCACATTTTGCTACACTGATAGGAAGCATCCATTAGCCTGACCACTCTGAAAATCTGTTGAGGTCCTCTGGCAATGTAAGCGTACCAACTGAAAGTTCTGGAAAATCCCCGTCTGCTACAGGCTATATTTGACAAGCCAAACGAGCCCAAAAAACCCGTTCATACGTCTTATGTACTTAAAAGGAAGCATGTCCCAATGTCTGCACAAAACCTGCTATGGTATGATGACTACTTCAAACAGATAACAACACTTCATTCTTATTCTGACAACAAATTACCAAATACTCATTTCTATTATACTTTTCAAAACAACAGTGCCCCTGCTAGTCGTTTCGAGCAGGAATTTCACTAGCATCATCAAACAAAACACCTGGCATCATGCACATATCACACATGGTATTGGATCAATTCCTTGATGGCATAGCGAACAGCCTACAGCTAGGACAAGGCATTTCCCGGGAGATAGATGACACAGTGTCGGTACCAAACGCGGATATTATTACCTGTAAAATACTAATATTTGGTTATCACACTGGTGTCTCTCACTCCATATCCTGTCCAAACGACGGGCCACCCCTGAGTACCACCTCGCAAACCTGTCTGAAGTCTTCCTGTTATCCAAATATAGCGTTTGGCGTGTCAAAATACATTTATGCACAGGGTTTTCACAGAGTATTTCATCATGATATTATCCTTTCACTGAAACCACGTAGCCGGTTTTTACCTATTATCCTAATAAATACTAGATCAGTTCTAAACAAACACCTAAAACTGAACACATTAGCTTCTATATGCAGACCATCATTGATTATGATCATCAAAGCCTGGTGCACAAGCGAAATCCACAAGGATAGCCTAAGAATTGACAATCACAACCTTTTTTGAGGAGATAGAGGGGCGGGCCGTGGGAGTGGGACAATAATTTACTGTGAATAATCCATGTGTGCCACCCATTTCAGTAACCCAAGTCGGTCACAACTCAACGACTCGATCTGGTTCGTAATAAAAGTTGTCAGGAGTAAACATATGGGGTGGAAGCTGTCTGCGTCGGTGGCACAGTGGTTAAGACTCTTGCCGACCGTGCACATGGTTCGAGGTTCGACCCCCTGCCGACGCACACCTGATATCTATGGTTGGCCTGCAAAATTTGGGCTATCGATATCCATGCTGAAAATTCCATGCTTGTACCAAAAATACAGTGTGGGATCAAGCTGCAATCAAAAATGATAAAAAAACTGTAAAGGACAATTTAGTTCTATGTTTACGTCCCAAATCGGGGGACAAGAAAAAACAAGAACAAAGGTTAACTTTGGGGAACTCACCAAACATTCACAACAGACTTAACCTGTCCGAATACCATTCGCAGATATACGGCCTGACCTTCTAAGAAACGGCCACAAAGAGATGGCAGAAAAACCAGTCAGAAAACTCTGCCTCTCTGCTAAAATAACGAATAATAATGTTAAGAAAAATCTTTAAATACCTTGAGGATGCGCGCTTCTTGAATACGACGTGCTTTTTCCTCTCCAACCGGAAAATACCAATTCTGTGAATTATCCGTTTGGGAAACCTGATCTTCCTAGCCGGTGAATTTAATTCAACCATTACTTACATAGTAAATCTCTGTGTGGTAAGTCCAGCTGTCTCGAACTACTGCCAAAGCTTCAGGTGCTACTTTTGTAGCAGCATCTTCCTCACTCGTTCAGAGAAACAAGACTTGTTGGTCTACCACGTGATTGCCGTGAAGCCGATCATTCAGAAAGTACTAGGTAAAGTCGAAAACCTTTTCTTTTCCTTGCCTTATACTTTTTCAGTCTTATTCTTGCTCTTTTGGTTAGAAACTGTTGCTCTCTTAGACGTACATAGCATAATTTATAGTGATTGTTAATATGGTTGTCGAAAGCAGCCTTAAAAAAGCCACTAGAATACCGTACTCTGTAGTCACAAGGGCTTCAGCCAGGGAAGGAAAAAATCCAGGGATTTCAACCCCTTCCCGCATACCGATCCTAAAGACTCGTGTAGCTTTAGTCTGCCCTGATACAACGCCTGCATTGCCACAGTCTAGTACTGAAACGGCACAGGCAATACCAGAAGGACAGAATTCTACACCTGCATCAACTGTAGGCCAGTGTGTGAAACACATCAAGCCTAAAAGGAAACGTTCAAGACGTCATAAGACCTCGAAGGCGTCATCAAGGAAAGGGGATGAATGCCAGGCGTGCAGCATCACAGTTTCTAAAACTGATTCAGCGTTTGAATGTAATTTTTGCAAACGATGGGTGCACTGCCGTTGTGACAAAGAAGTACCGAAAGCATACTATGAGTTTATGAGAAATAACCCATGCCCATGGTTTTGGTACGTGTGTCCACTTTGTCGCCCTGGCATAGTCCCACAAAGCGTGTCTGCGGATAGCAGAAATAACACGCTCTTGTGCCCCAACACAGTATCATGCAGCTCCCCCCTGCTAAACTCGCACTGCCGAAACTGGTCAAAGACTTAAAGAAGGACACACCAGCCCTACTGACTGGAAATGCCAATTCTCACAAGGTGAAGATTAGCAAGGTTCCATCCACATCAGGGGAGGCAAAATTACAAAGGCACCACTTGCATCCACTAGCAAGCCTGGCAACACAAAAAAGGCTGTCCAGGTACCGATGAAGCCTAATGTTGCTAATGATGCAAAGGACTGCAAGAAGCCGAAGGCAAAACCTAAGTCTGAGGGTAGTCGGTCTAACTCTCTCATCCTCTTTAACGTACCTGTGAGCACGGATAGCTTGCTCGAACAACGGGCCCTGTTTGATCAGGAACAGTGGTCCAACCTGTGCGCAAACTAGGTCTGAACATTAGTTCAGCAAAACTGTGCAGACTGTACAGGGGTGTCCACACGCCTCAGGGTAAGCCACCCCCATTACGGGTTACACTGGACTCTGCCGAAGAGGCCGAAAAAGTACTGTTAATGGCTCAGGTACTAGCCCTGGACAGAAGTTCTAACATAAGAGCGCGGCAAGATAGACCATGGGCTGTCAGAAATATGGCGAGGGAGTCACCGGAACTGATGCCTTCCACCTCTATGGTGGTACACGGTGTTCCGGAGCTGGAAACCGGCACTGCTTGTGAAAAACACATGCACGACGTACAACAATGGAGATGGCTGTCATCTCAGATGGCCCCTGGCGCTTCTGGAGCCATCTCCATTTTCCGACTACCTCGTCCCGCTCATCTAACATTGATTAACTCTCCAAAGCTGCTGTGTGTCACATTCAACTCCCCGGAGCAGTTGTCCATATCACTTCAACGGTGGTATGAGACCAAGGGAAAAATTGGAGGACACATCCGATGCTGTGAAAGCAGACCCAGAAATATAAGGAGGCAGCAAACTGAGGCTTTAATACGACCCCAAGCTTCGGTGACACTAGAGCGATGCAGCTCTGAGAATAATAGTCTGTGTCTCCCAAGTGTCCTGCCTAAATCCATTGAAAAAAACTACAACGGGCCGGTTCTATCGGAATCGGCCAACTAGTTCCAACATCAAGTCCCCCACCAGCAGACGGTTTCACGTCAACTACCCCACAACACTCTGAGGTTGTTAGACTCACTGTCAGTTGCCTATATAGCAATGTGAGGGGGCTGAGAGGGAAAGTAGGTGAACTCCGAAATCTCCAAGCACACCTTCAACTGAAAATAATCATTCTTACTGAAACGTGGCTAAACCCCACTATCGCCGACAATGAAATCAGTATAGGTGATATGGTACTGGTCAGAAGAGACAGGGATAATAAGGAAGGAGGGGGAGTTGCTATATACTTTGATAGGCAACTTAAATGTGTGCGCGCAACGGACCCACCACTTATCGAACTCCCAGACTCCATATGGTGTCATTTCACCGTAGGCCACACCAAGCACTTACTGGGTGGCATCTACCACCTGTGGGGCAGAGCACAATCAGCTACTGCTCAGCACTATCACAGGAATACGAGATTTGGGCTACGACCAAATCACCATAGCTGGAGATTTCAATGCTCCATCACTGAACCTCGGCTCCGGGTGTGCTAAGGGAAAATTTGGCCGAAACCTACTGCAAACTATTCGAAACACGGGACTGACTGAGAATGTTGGAGACGACACTAGGTGGGGCCCTAGTGGAAAGTCATCAAAACTAGATTATATTCTAACTAGTGACCAGCTACTCGTCGAAAAGGTCCAGATCATGACTCCTCTGGGAAGCAGTGACCATGCAGTCATAGGTTTCGATCTTGTCCTCCGTGAGCGTTTGCAATGGGATGTTACGCGACCATGTCTGTGCTACAGCAAGGCTGACTATGCTGAAATGCGGAGGCTCTTGTCCGACGCAGACTGGCCCTTAGCATGGGACGACCTATCTGTGGATGAACACTGGGAAGTGGTAAAAAAGATTATCCATACAGCAATCTCGGATACCGTCCCTTTAGTCACAACACAGCCTAAGAGAAAGACGT